TCCTCCTCATCCTCCTCATCCTCCTCCTCCTCCTCCTCCTCCTCCTCCTCCCCCAATTCACCACCACCGTTCTTCACCATAAGCACCGATCCTTAATTCGCCTCGAAGATTCGCATCGGTGCATTCGCGCGATCAACACAGTCGGCAAACTTATTTTTATTATATATACAATGGATTTCTCAAGCGGTTAAACAAAAGTTTTTCTCCAATTTTTTTTCAGCTTAGCCTCACTTTGTAATTGATTGTTGTTTTACGATTATTTTAATAATCAGTAATTTTCCTTTTTTTTTTATATTTCCTTTTATTAGAACTATCGAATGCACTATGAAGGATATAACGGGAAGATGCGACAACATATTTTCAAAGCAAACGTTAAAATGATAAGCGAATCGACAGTCTTAATACATAAATCTTGCATCGGCTAATCAATGACATCACGCGATAATGCCTGATAAAACGTGGGTTTGATAAATTCGGTTGAATTATAAAATATTAATTTTTAATTTACAGGTCGTTTGCAGCAAATGCTCGAATCAGAAGTTGATGTTCGAGGACAATAAGCAGATGCGCGTCTGCCGGCTCTGCCACGCCGCCCTGACGCAGCCCATGAGCAAGTCCTCGCCCTCCTCGCCCAATGGCCCCGCGCCCAGTCTGCTCCAGGTCGCGGCCGGGGCGGCCTCCGTCCTCTCCGGCTACCTTCTCCTTAAGACCCAGGCGAGCAAGCCCTGGACGAGGCGTTGGTTCGCCCTCCACGTTGATTTTGTCCTTTACACGTTCAAGACGGAGAGCGAGCGAACGGCGATGACTGCCACACCCATGCCCGGCTTCACCGTCACCGAGGGTACAGACCTCCCCGACGAGGATCCCCTCAACACGAAGGATCGCATCCGGGCCTTTAAAATACATCACTCGCGCAAGTCCTACTATCTTCAGGCTTCGTCGCAATCGGACAAGGAGAGGTGAATGTCGCTTTCTATTTTGTTGAACGCAAAATTGCATTTACCATTGCGAAGCTTTTACCATTACGTGCAATGATGACTTTACGAGATTTCAAGATTTCAAGATTTCAAGATTTCAAGAACAATGGCTAAAATGGTTAAAAGCTAGACTTTACAAAAGCTAACATTCGATCTTCCTATCATAACGATAATGGACGAACGTCTTTTTCTTTTCCGTATCATGTAATAGCATTTTGAAACATTACGCGTTATTAAGAATTATGGAATTTCGATGAAATTTTCTTATGCTAAATTAGCTTGCTCGATCGAGTACATTTTTCTTTTTTCTTTTTTCTTTTTTGTTTTTTGTTTTTTGTTTTTTGTTTTTTTTTTCCTCCATCAAAATCCATCGAAATTATGAGCATTTAACACATTTATGTTTCAGATGGCTTAACGCATTACAGTTAGCCACGAAAGCCGAATTGCCTCAGTCCATGAACGAAGCTAAAAGCGCACAACACGACAGTCAATAATACCATGCCGAAGACGGAAACTATAAAGTATTCTGCACTGTATTAAGCAACTTAGCCAATTTCCATAGAGCGTAAAGAGACATTAATGTCGAAACAATGTAGCACATAAGTGTTGGTAAATAGTCTTACAATTAAGTATTGTTAAATTATGTCCTTTTTAAAATGATCATTATTATAGGACAATATTAAAATCGTACATACGTGATAGATTTTTAGACAAAATGTGGTCGTGTCGCGTATGTACAAAGTAAAAAAAAAAATAAATAAATAAATAAAAAAAAATCAATAAATAAATAAATAAATAAATAAATAATAAATAATAAAATAAAAAACAAATAAAGAAAAAAAATTACAAAAAAGTATCAGTCAATTTTGTAAGTTTATACGTGCAAGTACAATTTAAGCTTCTTTGTTATGCTACATACTGCGTTAATATTTAACTTTTGAAGTTATTTGTTATGCGGTTAAAGAGTAAAAACAAATTTTTATCTCATTAATACAACGCCAATATTAGAGACTTTATATATCGTGTCTGTTTATACATATGAAGCGATTTTTTACGGTCACACAATCACCGAATAATTCATTATCGCTGCGAGGCGCTTGTTATTTTTGTAATATTATGTTATAATCTATTTAAAAATTATATACGTCGTTTCATCAGCGGAATATAAAGCTAAGATAGAGTCGATAGACTGTAATTGATAGTACTACTATTATTATATAGATTATGGATAAAATCGCGCTGGATTGAGTGATTTAACGTTAACACGAGATGCAGTTAAATTTTTAGCTTTGGTGTTCTATCAGCAGCTCGCAATTATCAAATTCTGTGATTTATGCAATAAATTCTATTCGTCCTGGTATTCAGAAATATACCTCTTTATTTGCTTAACTATAGCGTGTATAGGTCTGTGTAGATACGAGTTTTTTTTTTTTTTTTTGTATTTTTTAATTTTTTAAATCATGTATTAAAACAAGAAAGAGAGCTTAATAATTAACTTCATGAAATTGAATCGAGTATTTAAAATAATTTTTTTAATTTATCGTTCGTAATTAATGGAATTGATTAATTCATTAATAAATATGAGTATTTTATTAGTCTTTAAAAAGAAAAGGCTTCGTATTAAAAAGTGGAATATCATTAAATAAAAATTGGGTCCACTATTCTTCTCTTTTTAAAAGAGTATTTTTAATTTCAAATAAAACATCATTTGGGCTAACACGACTACGAAAAATTAAATTTTTACTAGTATTGTTATTTATTTGTTTTTGTGTTCATATCTAATTAAAATTAGCTTACTTTATTCGCTTATATATATATATATATATATATATATATATATATATATATACACACACGCGCGCACACACATATATGTAGACTTCGTAAAATGACGGTAGCCTCTCGCGAATACTCACTCTTGTTCTCATTTATATATGCTTCTTTAATATTGTGATTAGATTTATCTGAACCAATGTCTTCGAAAAATATCCTCGTAACGAAATTTATAATGTGTCAAATTAATGAAGGTATAAATCATGTTGTTTATATATTGAACTCACATAAACATGTTTTATATTTAAATGTTATGTCTGTGCGATTCTATCAACCGAGATCAAATTAGACATTTAATTTGTAATAAAAAAGAACCGCTACGATTAACGAGAGATACAAGAGAAATATATAATTTTATCAAATATGGGACACGTCTATTTTGCAGTAACAAATTTTATTAAATTGCTGGATATTATCGATATTGTATTAATATTAATTCTATCATTTAAATAATTAAAGCAACAATTAGTAATTCATATACAAAATTATGATTTTTATTATATTTTTAATTTATAAAAGCGATGTATTCTTACAAAAAAAAAAAAAGTGAGCACTTTAAGTTTAAAAATATATCCTTAAAAGATATGCTTAACTGAATATATGGAATAATTTCAATAAAAATAAACCAGTGATTTTACAATATTTAAAGTTTATACGTTTATTTCTACCCCTTAATGCCTATAATAGCCTGAATAATAATTTACCTCATTTTTTACTTAATCAACATTTTTTTATGCTAAAAATATTACTATAAAAACTATAATGTTGATATAAAATGTATCAAAATTAATATTATTTCTATTATAATTGATTTTATTAAAAAGTGCTTAATAAATTAAAGGATCTTTTTCTAAAGGGGCGTTAGCTTTATAGATAAAAGTAAGGAATAAAAAATTTGAAGGATAAACGTAAGATGAAACATTGTATACGCATATATTAAAAAAATGTAGGCTTGCCAGATGATTGAAAAAATGTAAGATCTAAGTAATGACATCGATATTAATAAAATATCTTTCGTGTCTTTATGCTTTAACAATATTTTGACATTAAAAATAAGTTGAAATTTTATTCGTTATAAAATTTGTAATTGTTCATTTCGCTTCTTTGTACACTTTTTAAGTACGCCTTTTAGGTGCATATGTATATGTATATGTAATTTAAAACGAATCAATTACTATTATTATTCCAGTCGTACCAGATTCCAATATTTTGATTGATTAATGGTAAAATACATTATATACATTCAGTCAATGTTATTAAAGATTCGAGTACTTTTAATACAAGATCTTGTATATATAAATTAAAAAAAAATCATAGTATAGAATCTACGTTTACATTGTTTTATAATATTTTTGTTTAAATTAATAATTACTTCTTTTTTATTTAATATTATTAAATATTTAATTTTATAATTAAGTCGTAATATATTAGTTTCAATTTTCTGAATGTGCGTTATCTTGTGCAAATTACGTAAAGGATTAAGGTTGAGTTACTATAAAGCATACAAATACACTTCATTATAAATCTATATACATTTATTTATAATTAAGTTTTATTTTACAAATTATTCTGGAACGATGCAAGCAAGTTCCCCTTGTAGTCACATAAGAAAACCAAATTAAATTTTTTACTTCATTTCTTTATAAAAGCATCTACGTTTCTTCCTTTCTTCTATTTTCACAAGCATTTACATTATCATGCACGTTACAGTAATAAGAAGGTTTAACAATCTTAATTGTTTATTTAATGAATGAAAATCTAATGATAAAACGATTGGATATTAACAATAAGTACGAAATGCCATATCAAGACAATAATGTATTTTTAAAAACGTATACTTCGGCGTTTTGAATAAGTATTGAAAATGATTAAATTGGCCATTTCTTTCGAAGAATGTAGTTGTGGTTGCTGATTATAATGTCATAAATTAAAAATGATTTTTTATGCGATCGAAATTAACGAGTAAGTGTTTGGTACTTGAATTTGTTAGTCGCATGGCTTGATTGAGGAGTATAAGGAAATTCGTTTTGGCCTCTTACGTTCATTGCAATTTCTCCATTTAAGGAAAGTATGACAATAGTTTTGTTTTACCTAAAATGTTTCGAGTATGAAATTTCATAACGTAATTGATATTACAAAAATTACGCGATAGTCTAATTAGATATCTTATTAAATAAAAATAAGGCAGAGGCATGCTAAATTAAAATAAAGCACACATAAAAAATATAAATGATAATATCGTAATCGTTTAAAGAAATTTTTGGCAATAAAATTTGACGTCACATTCGATAACAAACATAGATAAGTACATGATTATCTTAAGAATTAAAGATATATTTTGTACTTTTTACATTTCTATAAAATAATTTTATAATTTTATAAACAGCCGGATTATAACAGGTGGAGCTGAGAATTTAAATAATGTTATTATATTTTTTTATACATTAAGTAAAAAATATTTAACAAGTAAGCATTTCAACAACTTTAAATAAAATAATCTTTCATGTGATTTAATAATATTACGAAACGAAAATAATATATTCATCTTTTTTTTCTTTTTTATAAATCACCTAGATTACTTCCCCCCCCCCATAAATAAGAGTCCTGGATGTCATTAACCGAGTTATCATCTCGTATATAATCGTTAAATTATTATTCCCTTATTTGTATTTGAATTGCAATTTTCATTGATAATTTTTGACCTTTCATAAGTTCGTCATTTTTTGCTTTTGTTACGAATTTAATATAATTGTCTTAATGATAATTTTACGACTTTTATTTTCAATTGTAATCTAATATATCTGTTCGCCACGAATCGAATGCAACAAATTGCAGAGAAAGTTCATTATCACCTACAAGTATACTATATTATTATCGCTATTCATCTTTGTTTTTTCTTAAATCTTTTAACGAATGGTGGAACTTGGACATCGAAGTTTCTTTCAAATACTGCTATGAAGTAACCTTGACAGAGGTCAAATTCTGGCACAATTCGTAAACATTTATCACCACAAGCATACTCCACAGAACTTACACTCTCCCATTCGTTCCATAACATTTCTTTGATATCGAGTAGATAATACGAATTACCTATTTCATCGAGTACATCATCTATAACAATTTCTCCTTCTTCCGCATACACGGAGCAAGTTGTGTATACAACTCTTTTGACATTTGGAAATGTTTGAAGAGTATATCTAAGTATCATACTTAACAAATATTGAAAATGTTGTATTCGACCTTTCTGGCTACTTTTATTAGCTTCGAAAAATATTCCAGAGTACGTGCAAGTAGGATCGACTAAAATATATTTAATATTTTCATAATGACTAATATTAATATTTAAGAAGTCATGTTGCAATGTTTTCACATTTTTAACATCGGTTAATTGTAGCAGGTTACATAAAGCGTCGTGCCTAGCCGAATGAATGTCATTCGAATAAATTAATCTGCAAGAATTCGATAGAAAAGAGGCATTAACTTATAATCATAAAGCCAATTATCCGTATACAATCTATAAATGAATTTGTATTGAATATTTACCCGCTATTTCCCATTATATTAGCGAGGTGATTAGATTTGATGCCAGGAGCAGCACATAAATCTAAAACAAATGAGTTCCGCTTTGGATTTAGTAAAAAACTGGACAGACAGCTTCCCTGTCAAGAAAATTAAATTAATATATTGATTTTTTCTCTCTCTCTCTCTCTCTCTCTCTCTCCTTCTCTCTTTTCTTAATGTTTCAAGTAAAAGAAAAAGAAAAGAAAAAAAAAGAAAGACGAGAAAAGAAAAGAAAACACGTACCTTGTCTTGTAACAAAAATTTGCCTTTTATATAACCAGGATGATTGTAAAGTATAGTTCCTGGTGGAAATGCAAGAAGTTCAGAAATATGATAATCTCTAACAAAATCATTTTTACATAAATTCGTTAATGTATTTAAGTAATCTAAATATGAATTACAACGAGGTAAGAGATTCCATCCTTCTTTACAAAATGCACGCAGAGTATCTTCTATCGATATTGTTAATGTATTAATGCGAACGTAAATTGGTAGTTTAACTGTAATAAATGGATTTCTCAATAATTAATGCATAACAAATGTGCCGTGTTATTGTAAAGTACTAAGTTTACGTTTATTGTTATCGAGTGGATTATATATAACACTTGTCACTTCTGCATATGCTTCTCTTAAATTTTCTTCATAATACTTGATAGTCTCTGCTTCTTTTGCATTTGATTTTAGATATTGTTTACCCCATAATAATTCAGCTATTAAAACTCTTGCTATCCATGGATCCAAAAATTCATTGTTTGTCAATATTTCAAATTTGAATAGAAGAAAATTTATTTCTGAACTTCGCTGAATAGCTAACGACGCTAAATTGTACACATCACTAACGAACTATAACATGATTTTTGATTTGATTATTTTTGATTGAGAAATTATAATTTTACTTAAAAATAGATTATGATAATGTATTTATTTTATCTGCTTATAACAATAATGCATGTTGATGTGTAAAATTTTTAAAGTCTTTATTGAAAAAGTAAATCTTGATTATTAAAACTGATTCGCTAATGGTAATGAGAGAGAATTGTTAAGCGACAGTTTAAGATTTATCGACTACCAAATACTTAAAGCAATGTACTTACTCTACTTTTACTTGGATCAAGAATATCTTGTATCGTCACATTTTCCTTGTCAACTATACTTATGGCTTTTGCAGCTTTAATATATTCTAAAGATAATGGTTTTATCAACTTGGGATGATTATATTTTTCGTATATCAAGCCTGCAGGAAGGTGCAGAATTTAATTGAGTCAATAGCGCGCAAGTGACTTACAAAAGATTTATCAATGCTTTAATTTTCTTACGCTTTTGAGGTATAATGTTTGGAGGAACATTTTTATGATAATTCTGATAAGCCATGAGGAAGGTATATAAAACAATGACTCGATAAGTCTATCCTTGTTCTTTTCCCCTAAAACTGTTTCATGAATTACTTAATAATTTAAAATAATTCTTATGTACATTTTTTTACACGTTTCTTCAATTATCCTTGCTCTGTAAAAGTCCAAAAAAAAAAAAAAAAAAAAAAAAAAAAAAAAAAAATAAAAAAAACTGCTGATAAACAAATGGTTTGCCAATAATTTTTTTTATTTTTTTTTTATCATATCACAAACCTTTATTTATTTGATAACTTGGTTAAACGTATTGTCGCTATTGTTCAAGATAATCGTCTTCATATTAAAAAATACTTGCCGCGGTCGACTAATCGTATAGAGTATGACATAGGCATTTCAGTGGTCTTGAAAATATAATAATAACTTAAATATGTGAATATAGCGTATAGAGTATAATAAAATAAGTGGCCATTCGAGACGATGTTGACACTGGAGTGTTGAAGAAGGCGACTCGTTCAGTTAATCGATCCTTGATTTTGTCTCTCCTATCGTTCGCCCTCAAGCTAATGGGGGTCGTTGCTTTATGTATACATCGATTGTTTCGTAAACACGCATTTTGCGCTCCGGGTGCTCGGTGCTTAGTTTGAATTGTTGATGGAACCTTATTAAAGTCTTGCTCGTTGACGATTATTACCTACATTGTGATGATTGTAATGCAACGACGACGGAATTTACTGGATTTAAAGTTAGGATTTGCGCTTGTCCACTACATCATCACTTATCATCATTATCATCATAAGGTCTTGGCTGAGTCAAGTCGGTCAGTTAAATTATTTCATCGATTATTTCAGCCATTAGATTACTATTAGTTTATTAATCGAGTTAATAACAAATAACAAAAACTACCCATGACATATTACATTATAGTTTTATATGCCACTTAATTTGATATTTAAATTTCAATTGCAATTTTAACAGAATCGCTAAATTGCTGATAGAAAGAGCTCGGCCGATCTTTATAACTCGTGACAATTGCGTCAGTTGTTACCATTTTTTTTTTTTTTTTTTTTTTTTTTTTTTTTTTTTTTTGTTTTTTAATAATAAATTAAGTGTGTCAGTGTCACATAAAATGTACGAAAAACAATGTAGGTAGGACGAATCAAATATATTTCAAATTTCATTGTGTTTTGAGATCGAATAGTGTTTTAGGTTTGGAGTTTCGTATTATTCCAAGTATTAAATTAAAACTTGATTTTCATTTTCATTTTTCGCGACGAATGAATCGCATGGGAAATAAAGTTTTGTTATCAAAATTATTCCGAAGAAATATCTTACTAACGTTAATTTCGACATCGTTTCTCACAGTTTCGTCTCACCTACGCTCGCAGCCTTCGACGATTCATTTATCATTTAAATATATAATAAAATTTAAGAAGTTTGCCAGTCTATTCGATAATAATAATTTAAAAAGTTGTACGAAATACCGTAACATTAAAATTGTATAACTAAACTTAATTCAGTTCAATACTAAATTTGATTTATATACTTTTTTTAATAATTTAATAAATAAATAAATAAAGGATAAAATAAGTGTTAAGAAAATTTTATACTCCGTATTGTTTAACAATGTAACGATATTTACTTTTTGTAAAAAGAATTAATGACAAATCAAATATTTTTTATCATAAATATAAATATGAAATATGCAATAACACAAATAACAATAACACATTTGTGTTATTACCAATATATTTGTGAGTAAAAACTTGGATGAATTAAAAATAAAGTATTAACGTACATTTATTCATTAAGAATGGATGATTCCATGTTCTTTTTTTTAATCAGAAAGTTGTATTTTTCATCATCTTTTCGCCTGAAAAAACAATATATATTAAAGAATCATTTATAAGAAGAGACTGCTTAAGCGAAAGTTTACCAGGTTTCGTATAATTTTTCAGTAGGAATATTTTTAGCATAAACATTCACGAGATATTTGTTACATTGATATATCCGTAATAGTAAAAATATAATCGTGTTATGTTTTATTGTTTTTTTTTTTTTTTTTTTTTTTTTTTTTTTTTTTTTTTATTCTCTCATAAAGGTACACAATACTTAATGAAATGAAATAAATATATGTAAATGATGTTATTGATAGTATTTGAGAGGAGATGGCATTTTGAAAATAGTTTTACAAACGCGTAAGGTTCTGCATCGATACAACATTAAGTTGTAAGAGAAAATATTAAAAATTTCGCAGCTTACATTTATTTAATATTTTATTAGAGTGGAGAATTGTTATTTTATTCGAAAAGACAATGATTATAGCTTCATCTATATAAATTTATGCATAACATTATGTTCGCGTATGGAAATTTTATAGGATGAATATACAAAGAAATGAGAAGTGTATATAAATATTTTAAAGAATCCATTTAAGCCTTCGTTCTGTAAATTTTGTAAATACATCAAATACAATAAAGACAATAAAATTTTGTTAATAAAAATGACAAAATAAAGTCTGAATGATTATTTATTATTATTTTTTTATTCGTTTCTTTCGATTTCTATTAAAGATCTAAAAAAAAGGAGTTCTAAAAGATTGAAGTTTTATCGTTTGAAAAAATGAATCTAATTATCGTTATTAACGATGAGGCGCTATTATAATATTTAAAAAAAAATAATAATAATAATATCGAGGATTATTAGATTTCAATATTAAAACGTTTGAAATTATGCATTTATCGAAACATTAAATAACAATTTATTAGAAGTACGTCCTAATGTTATTAATTTATATTTTGTTTAAAAATTTTCATTTTTTCCCAATTTCTTTAATATTCTATGCTTATAATAATTATTTTATAATTGTTATAATAGATGAAGAACATAAATAAATTCCTAGAAAGCGCGTGAAAAAACTAATAATAAAAATTTTTTCTATCAATTCGTCACAACAACTCTATGATTATAAAATATAAAAACAAAACCCTTGTAAGAATGAATTATGATTTGAGGATGTAATTCTTGGTAAGCGAGGAACAATATCTCTCATTCTCTCTCCCTCTCTCTCTCATTTTCTCTCTCTCTCTCTCTCTCTCTCTACTTTATCAACAGAGATTTATTTTGATTTTTTTAACTTGCACATTGGCCATTGTACAATTTCTAACCTAAAATAGAAAGGCAGAAAATCTTTTTATTTATCACGTGCATTCTATGATATAAAAACTGGTTTGATATATAATTACTTATTTATGCTGCAACATCATCAAATAATTAAGTGAGTATTAATCATATTATTAATTATCAATATTACGCGTAATTATGAAGAAATGCATATAAATTTTTATTTTATAACGAGTATTTTAATTTTTCAATTATGCTAATATGTAAAGTTTTTGTATTCATAATTAATTTATAATTGCTTATTCCAATTTTCATTGATGTTGCAATATTCTTATATATAATAATATCATCTAGTATTGTTATTTTAATTCTTTTTAGGATCAATGAATCAAGAGAATATGTCTACAGGGTTTGTGCATTCGGTAAGAGTACCAAGACTTTATAAAGAATCCTCGAAAATAGTTAAAAAAGTCTTTGTAGATGGTTCAAGTTTTAAAACTCTGATTTCTCAGTTGAATCATCCAGTAAGTAAGAGATTTATTTTTATCATTGTTGACACTGCACGAACAAAATCTGTCTAATAGATTGTGATAATATTGTGAATTAGAATGTCCAAGGGATCTACGCATTGGTGTCAAACACATTGCAATATTCCAAAAAATTAGATTATCTTATTGATCAGAATAAAATTCTTATTGATAATCCACGCCTCGATTGTTGGCTAGCAAAAGTTTTAATAACAGAACTACTTTGGGGCAAGAAAGAATTGAAATCTAATGCCAAACCTATTGAAACTATTTTAAGCTATAAAGTAAAATTGCTGCAGAGTTTAGAGCAAAATTTGGATGCCACTGTAGATCCCTATGACAACAAAAGAGGTAAATGTAAAATCTCAAATATATATATATTCTTTTAATTTACAGAGAATTGAGTCCAATGGTTTTAATCATTCGTAACAATAGAATACAGACAAGAAGACACTCGAGAATAAAGAATTTCTTATCTTACGTTGTACCAAAAAACAGAAGAAATATAGTTACCGAAAAAGAAAAAGAATCGTCGTTCATAATGTCAAATATTGTGCGTGTTTTAGGAACTTTTTATATTTATAGCATAGCCATGTTTACGCTGCCGTTTATAGCATTTTTTGGTGTTCAGCATATAATGATATCGGAATTTCATACAGAAAGATTTGTGACAAACTGTATATCTATAATAGCGGCAGTTCTTGTTGTAAATGTAATTATCGGTATATATGCGTATCAGGCTTTACACGAACAGGATGAAAACGACGACTCATCGGCGCACAGCGAAGGCTCTGAAGCTTTGGACGACGGCAATAAGAAAACCGATTAAGAATTAATGAAGTTTTTTTTGCATAATATGAAATAAACGAATTATTTGTTGTGCAATAATCTATTCAAGCGTAAAATTGAATACTAATATTTTTTGAGTTAGGGAAGGCTTAATTAAAGTAGTTTTAATATATTATATCGTGATTTATCCGACTAATGATGAGTATAAAGAGAATTTATAGATGTGTCGCCAGATCTACTAATCATAATATTACTAATTAATTGCAAGAAAAAAATAATTCCATCGATCAATTATAAATAAAGATTAAGGTTAGATATAATGCTTAAAGGCAGTGGACGTAGACTTTATAAACTCCGATCGATCGAACGATTTTGAATAACAGAATCGAGCAGTGCTATCCGATTATTACATTGGTCTTAATCAATCAAATGATTTCTGAGATATTCGAATTTTGTTTAAACGTAATAAACAAATTTAGGGATATTAGTATACGATTATTCACGTAAATTTATTTGAAATAATATAATAAAATAATAAAATCTTTTAGTGCAATTTCCACGATACATTCGCATTAATACATTATTAACAAGTATCGATGAAGTATTGGATACTTTTTATAACGATGGGTGGAATCTGTTACCTCGATGTGAAAATTATACTTCTCATCTAGAAACTTTGTCAAGCTTAACGAATGAGAATTTCATACAAGATTTTCACATACCAGAGGTATTAGTTTTTCCACCTGGTACGAAATTCTACGATCATCCCGATCATCTGAAAGGAAAATTATTACTACAGGATAAGGTATTTATTAGAATTATAATATATTCTTACGTACTTAATATGATACCGAATATGATATGATTACCGAGTTGCTGATGTTTATTTTAGGCTAGTTGTTTACCTGCATTTATATTAAATCCCAAGCCTGGTGGTGAAATTTTGGATATATGCGCTGCTCCTGGAATGAAATCCACTCATCTTGCAGCTATTATTAACAACAATGGGTGAATCAATTTTTTTTAAAATTTCATATACTTATATAAATATATATATATATATATATATATATATATATATATATATATATATGTATGTATGTATATGTATGTATGTATCAATGTATGTATGTATGTATGCATGTATGACGTTATTATTGTAGAAAAATTTATGCAGTCGAAATGAACGAGAATAGATATAAGAACTTATGTGAATTTATTAGCCTCGCTAATGCAAAATGCATCGAAACTGTTCAAAGCGATGCATTAAAGATATCACCGGAACAGTATGCAAATGTCAAGTACATTTTGGTAGATCCGAGTTGTTCTGGCTCTGGAATTATCGATCGAATTGAAACTAGAGAAGAAAATAGCCAACAATTGCAATATCGATTGAAAAAATTGCAGTACGTGCAATCGATGTTACTTACTTACGCTCTTCTTAATTTTCCAAACGTAAGAAAAGTAATTTATAGCACATGTTCAATGTATTTGGAAGAGAATGAAAGTGTCGTTGATATTGCCTTAAAAAGAGCTGGCGATATGTTTAAACTTGTTAATTTAAAGAAGAAATTAAAGAACGAATGGCACAATTTTGGTTCATCGGAATACACTGTCGATGGCAATAAATGTTTGTATGCACTACCAGAGAAAGATTTATGCCGCGGATTTTTTATGGCAATGTTTAAAAGAAAAACAAAAGTATTAGACGAAGTAGAGCTTAACTCTGACACGTGTAAAATATCGAACATAAATAACGAATTAAAAAGTACGGAGGACAATGAGCTTCCAATAAAAAGGAAAAAGAAATCTTTCGAGTAAGGCAAATATATTCATTTGAAAAATATTAAAAAGCATTATAGATAAAATGTCAAAGAAGAGAGGGAACAATGGTTATGAAAATTCATTATAAAACTAAATAAATATGGAAACAAACTACGCTTGAGATGTTAAATAACAGTGATATTAAATATTAAGCGTTATTTCCTCCTCCTCCTCCTCCTCCTCCTCCTCATCATTTGAAAGAAACAGCATTATTCGACGATAGAGTGAAAGTAAGCATTTTTTGCTGCTGTGCTTTGATTCGATTCGTGTCGTGCAAGAAGAAATGTACGAGCTAAATGAAATTTCTAGCATAATAATTTTCCTGTAATTCTCCCTCCTTTATTTTTTTAATAGCCCAGCTTATCACAAGTTTCTGCAAGGCACGCGACTCGCGATAAAACTCGCAATCTTTGTTCCTTTATATCCGTGATAATTCATACACCGATAAGAAAATTCTATGTATTTAGTTACTACCTTCACTAATTTTGGACATTTTTTATTTATAAATAAAAAATACGATGTTTAAACTTGAAAACTTTGAAAATTTAATTTTTAAATTGTCATGTTGATTAATCTTGGAATGATATTAAATTGCCTTATGGGGATGCGTTAAGGCGGAAATCTTATACTTATTAGCATTTGAAATTTACAAAATACAGAAAATTACAATAATGTGTCTAATGTTAATAAAATTACTTTTTCTGTAGTGCATACACACAGCCATCTCGAGGATATATTTCGATAATAAATATACAGAGCCGATGTTCCATAAATTTATTGACAATGAAAAATAACGTCCGAGCAGTTTTGTTTCGATACTAAACTATTTATTCTCTGTTAAATTAGAGTTGTTCCCCTTTTTCACGAAAGGGCGTATCCTTCTGTTTGTTGTACATTTTAATAAATAACGTTTATATCTATTTTAATATTTTAATTTTCTTTACAATTTGCCACCCCAATATTAATGATATAAATGGTACACGCATACATAGCAGCGTCCAAGGGGATTTTAATCATTTTAAAGGCGATCGTGTTTTGTTGTTGTTTTTTTCACTAAAATTTTCAAGTAAACGTGGATAAATCAACAGATCTCTGTCAAATCTTTCGGCACTTTGGTCATATTAAATGTTTTTATTAAAAATTGCTCGGATACGGTGTCTGAATACAGTTAATGCTCATGAGCGGTAAAATGACCCAATCAAAGTAATAAAAGTCGTGGTTGCTTTAAAATGTAACAAACACGATTATCTCGCGACACACGATTATTCGCCTTAACTTTTGCAGAAGGTGCACGTAACTTCTGCCCTAATCGTAATTTGCGTAAAGGTGGCGAGCGAGGGGTAATTTGGGGTGGCAGACGGCCGCCCTTTTGCGTGCGCAATTCCAAATCGATCGGCCAGCGTCATTTTGCGCACTTGGCGAGGTTCCGGAATGCGATAAAGCGAGAGCCGCCGGCTGCACGCCAAAGGACGAACACAAGGGCTCGAGGGTTCGAGAACGAAATGGAGAGGAAATTACTGGGGCAGTAAATGCTGCTCGATAGCAGGCGCGCGTGCTCTCTCGTCCTCGAAACTCCCTGATTTTTGCTTTTTCATCCCGATCTGTCCCTCTGCCCCATCCCCGCCAACCCAACCCAGCCCTTGTCTTACCTTATCGTATCGGGACCCGCAACCCAAGTGCCAAGGGCCCGATCTCGTTTTACATGCTGAGGTTTTTCTATCACGGGTATCTCGTGGCAGTCAACGTTGGCCGATTACAATTTTCCATTAAGCCGGCAACTTCAACGTCTTTCGATATAAATATATAAATAATCTTTTTTCATCGTAACAAATATTTCGCACGGCAACAGCATTTGAATTTCAAATACTTAGCCACAAGTTTTATTGGTCATTTCGTATTGTTGAACATTTTATCAAAGTTCTATTTGATTTTTTATTTCATTATTCTCTATATATATTGTCCAATTTTATGGTAATAATGGCAATGATGTAATACTGTACGATTTGGTAATTCGTTAATATAAGTAAGGAAATAAGCATTGAGTAGTGGAAAGGTTATATTAATAATTAAAGGCATTGCAAGTCTTTGAATTCGACTTCGAGAGCCTATTTAATGTTTTTTTTTTCTTTTTTTCTTTTTATTTGTTCTTAATTCTTTGAAATTAAGAAGATAGCTTTGAAATTTCGTCATTCTTGGTTGTGAAATTTGAGGATCGAATTTACTACAATAAGAATATAGGATAAACATATTTGTTAACGAATGGGAATTTTATGATTGTTTCAACGGATTACTACAGATTACTATTTATTGATATTTCGTCAAGTGCTTTGTCGTCTCACATATTACATTATTAACTCTCTCTCTCTCTCTCTCTCTCTCTCTCTCTCTCTTCAAAACACGTGTACTTCTTTTCCTTATAGGCTATTAATGCTTTTTTTTTTATTTTCTTACACAAAGGATAAGTAGCGCAAATGTAATCTCAATCTTGTTCACTCAACCAGTTAGTTGCGCAACACAAGAATTTCGTGACTTAAAAAAAGTGATTTTGCAGCCTCGCTCTGAAATTAAAATCTTATATCCATTAGATTTATACTCAGTTTCGAACGAGCCTAATCGATTATAAAAAGTGGACCAAAGAGGTAAGTAAAGTTTCAAGGTTTTTGGTAAAAATATTTTTCAGCTGTTTTATGGGTTTATATCATATAGACTAACTGATAACATCAAACTTAATGGCAAGATTTCTTCTTTTTTTCTTTTTGTTTTTTTTTTTTTTTAAAGAAAAAAATTCCACTATATTTATATGTAATAGTTAATGTTTTTATGCCCTTTGCCACTTTTTATTATCCAATTTCCTGTATCTTTATTACAGAAGAAAAATGATTTAATGTACGAACCCACATATTATCCTTTATTATGTTGCATTATTGTAAGAAAAGTAATTGAAGTGCTCATGCATTACAATCTTTTTATACTTCGTTTTATACTTCTTGTCTTTTTAAAATAGGTATTATTTAAAAAGAGTGTTACAAATCTCTATTGCACTTGATTATGTATGTAATAAAACCTTAACTATTTTATTGTTGAACGCGATAAGTAGGATTTGCACTTTTTTAAAACATGCGATAGATTTTTATCGTCAAATTCAAATTGTTATTATTAGAATTTTTAATGATATTTTATTATAGATTTGCGAACAGTGCCCGTATAATAAAATTTGATTCAAATAATAATGCCGTTTAATAATTAATACTCTCTCATTCGTTATAAGTGACATTTGATAGTATAGATAGATAGAGATAGAGATAGAGATAGATAGATAGATAGAGAGAGAGAGAGAGAGAGAGATTCAAATGAAATTTTAAAAATTTAATTTGACTGACAATAAATGCCTTAGAAAAAGATTAGCCATTGAAATTCGACATTGACAATGTTTTTTTGAACCGACACGTTTTATGAAAACAAATATTTAAAATAAATTTCTAATATATGCAATTGATCGTATTGTATATTATATTTTTGTATAATGGTAAAGGTAATATGTTCTATGATTTATTTTGTCACAATGTGTATAATTAAAATGGATTTGCGTGTTGATTTTAAAAATAACCCAAAAATTAGTGCTAATTTAACAATAATTTAGTAGTAGTTATTTGTTACTATTTATCTTCTACTTACTTTTTTCATATTTACTGCAGACTCTTTATTTTGTTTAAAGTGGTTTTTATTTTACAATATAGAAATTGACAGGAAGCAAGATGAAAAAGCTTATAATCAAACCTGCCATACTATGACATTGCGTATACTCTGTTTGACTAATTGTTAATAATTATATTTTCTTAGTTTTGCTTATTATTGTAGAATGAAAATTGTAGTATCTGTGATATGTATTGATATTGTTCATGTAAAGAAAAATATATCAAATATTTTTTTCATACTCTAACGGACACAATAATAAACAAGAATAATAGAAAAACTTTTGAATACACATTAACAATATCGAATCTTCAATAATATTATTTATTGTCCTAATATCGAGAATTAAATGCTTTATTATCGATTATTTAATCGAAGATTCCGTTTTACCGAAAAATTTCAGTTCTCTTATTTCTTACCTTATTATTTATTCTCTTTCTCTAATTATAGATAAATTTGTTTCAATCTATTTACATTTATCGCTCAAATCAAGATATTTAAAGCTAAGCAGAAGTAAATTTTTCAATCTCGAATATTTTGTTACTATTATTGAAAATCCATTTAAGTTAAAAATTAGATCGGTACAGTAGTTCTATTTAAATAATCTTGTTGGTTTATTAAGATATGATTTTTTTTTTCTACAAAGCAATAAATGTCTCTACGTTTTAAACGAATTCACTAAATTATATTATTTATTTTAATTTTTTTGATATATAAAACGAAAATAAATAAGCAAATATATTTTTATGCTAAAATAATAATATTTTATTCCTTTTTCATTTTAAATTAAAAAAGTTGATCTCAACATTATTAAGAAATTCTGTATAATTAAACATTAAAATGTATCTATCGATAAATTAATAATTATTACGCTAATTATAGACCAATATATTGCTGTTTATCTTTAATCAAGGCAAATTACATATATACAATCAAATAAGAAGTTGCAAAATATTTGTACACCAATATTATTACATAACATTACTTTAATATTACATACGGTTACATAATATTAATTTAACGCATTTTGTTTTTAATGAATGTTAATTCTCTTTCGTCACCCTGTTATTTCTAATTATTTATTCCTATTTCTTTTATAATTACATAATGATTGCCGAGAGTTAAATAGTATATTTTATAAAATTCTTTACAATAAAATAATTCTATTTAATAAAATGAATTGCTTGAAATAAAATTATAAAATATATATTAATCATGGAATTGCTAAATTATGCCAGCAGCATGAAATGTTGATGTTATAGCATTTGTAAGGGTTCGTACAAAGTATATTCATCTTCTCTTATTATATAAGAATATTTCAATTTACTTTCCCATCTGAATTTGAAGTGTTAAACTTCTTTATGCGAGTATATGCATGCAGATGAATAGAAATATGTAAATGTAAAAATGTATGTCGAAAGCATTTTTTAATGTATT